TAAAGTATCTAACCAATATCTATCTGACTAAAAATACCCAACAACCCTATATTGAAAGATGCAGGGTTAGTATCTATTTTATTTATCAGTAGTGAATTGGGGAATGGCTAATATGACCCAAATATAAATAACCAGAAAGATAATAGCCTAAAATTGATTTGAATGGACAAAAATGATATGTGCAATTTATTTATTTTTTTTGCTGAGATTAAATCGATTTGAAATTGACGCTTTGATAAATTATCTACACGATTTTGACCATATAATTGCTGTTTTATGAAAGTAAACTCACGAATGGATATTAACATAACTGTGGTTGTTGCGTTAAAAGACATCTTATTGTGAAATGGGAGACAGGTTATGAACATGAGCTAACGCAGCTCGTCGGTATTCAGTGGAGACACCTCCGAGAGCTCATCCGTTTTTTTTTACTATATAAATAAATAATTAACAGATAGCATAGGCTAATTCCATCAAATTATCACATTTCCTCTGTCCTCTCTTATCGCCAAATGTCCGCTGCCACCCGGAAACCATCGACACCAAAGAGAGAAGATCAGTGAGAAGTGGAAACTTTTGGGACGCTGTAGGTGTCTTTAGACGCAGCTGAGAGGAGCCATTTCCTGCCAAATAGTGAACCCGTCTAATCGTGACTGCAGCAGCTACTTCCTGCATTGTTACAGTCCTTAATGAGGATTAAGTTGAAGCTGTCATGTTGTAACGCGCGGCCATTAGGCCTACTCCACACGGCGAGAGAAGGAAAGGAGGCAGAGACTGGAGGCTGACCTCACATCAGTTTGATTTCAGAGCTGATCCCTCCACCTGGACAGGACCTGTCAAGATGTGCAAAGAAAGGCTATGCAGTCCATTTAAATCATTTCCTTTTAAGTATACTGTATATCCTGATTCAGTATCATACCAGATGACAGTATTCAGTCCAGTACAATCAAAGCAAAGATCAACCTCTAAAAATCACCTTTATCATTTAAGCTTTATAATAAGCTCCACCTACGGTAATTATAGCAACACTGTTAGTGAGTTAACAGTGGCTTTTGTAAATATTTCTCAGGAAACACTCCTAATGACCCTGGTGCTTAACTTGGCTTCTAGCGTCACCAGAACACTGACTTTTTTGTTTTCTAATGAAATGTCTACATAACTACTACATGAACTGCTATGAAACTAGATTTAGAACATTTGGACAGGGTGGCCAGGCTGGGGCACAGACTCAAGAGAGGGGTGGTACATTTGAAAAATGTGTAAGAGGCAAATGAAACTCTTAATTCTATGAAATAATAAGTCATATGGTATTAAGAATAAAACTGTTTATTGTGTGTAAAACTGAGATGAGGTGGGGGGGTGGCACCAGGGGTGGCCAATCAGATTCTGGGGGGTGGCCGGTGCCACCACTGGCTATCCCCCTGGATCCGCCCATGCTGGGTACAGACATTTATGGTCCCCAGAGGATGAATGTTAACATGATTTCATATCAGTAGGTCAAACTCACTTATTCTAGTACATCTTTCACCTATAACAGGAACTGCCACAGATTTTGTGTGTATTTACAGGCCCCAGTGGATGACTCCTAAAAACTGTGGTGACACCTTGACTTTTCCTCTAGTACCACCAGGGAGATGACATCATGGGAATGAAATGTGAAATATCTTTGGTGGACACATTCATGGTCTTTGTTAACTTTGGTGGTCCCATGACCTTTCATTTGACATCGTCAGCATGGGACCTTCATCAGGGTTATCATTTGAATACTTTACAAAGAACAGGGTAACCCTGATAAAGGCCACAGTCTACAAAATGAAAGGCATCAGTCTGACAGCTGCCCCTGGTACAACAAGTGTTGATTGTTTCAGTCCTTTAAAACTGCTTTCCTTCTTTTGGGTTGCTGAAATGTACCAAAAAACACAGAAGTCAGGACCTCAGTGACTGTTAATCAAGTTATTGCTGAGGCAACAGCTACTTGTCCTAAGGTCCCCTGGTAATATTTACAGAAAAAAAGATTAATTATTTATAAGCTCCAGAGTGGGGGTTTTTTCAGCTTCATGTAATTTTTACTTTGGGCAGGGTGATTATGAGAAGATGGCCCCTTGGTGCAGATTGTATACGAAACAACCTGTAGCCTTGTGCCTCATGAGCTGGAGACAATAGCATGAGACAATGGTATGAGACAATGGCAACAATAAGAGTCGATGACATAGCATAATCTAGAAAGATCCTTTTTTGTCATTTAAAGAACAGCAGGGTGAGGCTAACAAAGCAATCAAACACTGTAACCCCCACCTGCTGGTAAAAAGCAGTCCCTGCCTACTACAGCCTTTATGGATGACTCCTTTATTCCTTGACTTCCTTAGATCACAGTATTTCAAACACATATAGTATAAGTGTATATGTGCATTTGTGGATGAGAGGATTAGTTCAGTTCACCTTGGATGCATTGAAGGGGTGAAGGTACTGTCAGGGAAGAAGCAGCCAGCTGGAACCTTTATAGAGGCATTTCTGCAACTTCTGATGTAGTAACCCTGTTTCCTGGACTTGCATGCATGTATATGGATCAGTTTGTAACAGCAGCTCAGGCTGGCATTAATCCAACCCTCCCCTTAATCTCTACTGTAAAGTGAGATGTGAATTATGTGTGTTGTTTGGGTTCGCGGCACTACAACACTATTCTGAGATGTGAGGTTTATGTTGCAGAACTGCAGTAATCTGAATTAGGAGATACCTGACGGTCTGTGCTGGAATGAGATGTTTTCCTGATTTAACACAGAAATGTTGGCAGTTAAAGTTCGCTCTTAGTGGAGGGTCAGGAAATCAGCTGTGATGCTAAGAGGCATGACGTAAGGTTGGCTAGAATAAGGATCCAAACATGACACTGATGCAGTTCCCTGATGAAGCACTGAAAGCCAATATTAAGCTGAGGATGCTGGTGTGAGAGTAAATGTTGGGGGGTTATGATGCTGGAGCTGCTGGACTTTGTGAGTAAAAACAAATATGCACAATATTAATACCCTGGCATCTCCTGGTTAACTTATTAGGGGGGTAAAACATTGTGCTGTGCTACTACTAACTCCCACATTTCCCATATACGTTCCCCTCAAAGTGTCCACAATGCACACAGTGGGGTAGAGCCTACATGGCCTCAGGTTTACCTGCATCAGTTATTGGTGGTAATATGAATAAACACAACTCTATCAAGTTCTATTTAATGTGCTGGCAATGAAGTGAAGCTGAGGTCTGATTCTTCACCCGCGGTTGCCAGTTTGGGTCTCTATTTTATGTGAAGGAGGCAAATGTGATGCTGGTGAACATTTGGGGAAATTATGTGATATTTTCTTTTTATAATTCCTTATTGTAACATGATGCGTGTGAATGTGTGTGGACGTCTGCTCTTGTTGGTACAGTCTTGGGTGATCTCGGGGAGCCCGAGTCCCCTGGCATGGTCGTCCTGCTTTGGCCCTGGGTGGACACGGGCTACAAGATGTGAACCGGTCGCCCTGGTATGCCGAGGTGCGCATGCCCACTAAGAGGACGCAGCGGCTCCATGTGTGTTGAGGCGCATTATTTGGCAACAGACGCGGCAGTGGGGAGGGCCGAAAAAAGAGGATATCCCCTGGATTTCAAAAAAGCAACGATTTATCGAGGTTAACTGCAGATTAAAGACTCCTTGGTTGACCATCGGCGAAGAACAGGCGACAAAGCGACCGAGTAAGTTGTCTGAGGCGAAGCCGAAGTTTTTTAGTAAGTGGATCGAGGGGAGCCTTTTATTCGGACTCGTCGAGAGGAGCCAGGTTTTCCTCCACCTATCTGTGACGATAAAGAAGCTGATGGGCTGTTGAAAAGTAACACTTCTCCGCAGAGCCAAAGGTTGAGCGCTGGGGAGGAGAGGGGGGGCTTGCTCCGCCAAATTTTAATTTATTTTACGTCATTTTAAGTGTGCCAGCCTTTAAATATGACCCCCGCCCTTGGTTTGATGCGGTAGAAGTCGTTAAATGAGGTAAGGATTATAACGTTTCATCGCCAGCGGCAAGCTGAGCCCGTGGGCCGGTCGATGAAATTTATGAGTACCGACTCGAAGGTTTTTCCTCGGGAGGGGACAGCAGGTAAACAGTCCCGGTGAGCTTCACACAGCCTCACTCTTAGGGAACAGGATGAAAGTTAGTGCCCCCTTTTTGAGCTGATGGTTGTCCCGCAGCGGCGTTCAGCCAGGTAAACGATTCGGGCTCGGTTCTGGTTGTGCGGGTCATGTTGGTGAGCGGCTGCCCAGCTGGAGGACTTTTACTAATTTGACCCGAAGTCCCGGTTGGATTGTGAGACATTAGCTGCGTATACCCTGGCTGGAGTGGCTTCGTGTTTTTGTTTGCGCGATGTAGCTAATGTTAGCTCGCTAACTAATAACACGCTCACCTCCTCTGAGGCGGTGTCAATAATGAAAAAGCCGGCTAGCTGCACATGTACTGTGGGCTGGGTTTAGTTTTTAAAGGGCTGACTTCGGTGTGGATGGTGTACTGGGTGGTATAACGTTAATGGTGGACGCTGCTGGCCGCTTTCAGCCCCGTGGCACCAGCCTGGGTTCTGCTATCTGGCAGCTAATCTTCCTACTTCTCTCTGTGACAACCCTAGTCTTCCTCCTCTTAAAGCTGAACACATACACACACAGTCGCACACTCCGTCTCTCCCTCACACGCAGACGCGCGCGTGCGCACGCACACACACACACGCAAACACATACACATCCGTACGAGGTTGCAGCGCTTCGGGACAAAACATGAAACCAGTTTAAATACATGCTTCTTCTTTATTGACGCGCATAAATGAAATTAAAACCTTTTATTATCAAATAATTAAATATGGCGGAAGCTGACGTTGCTCACCTTGCCCCACGTTTTACTTGGTGTGAAGGCACCGGCTGCCGCTCTTAAACTTTATTTGTGATTAAGACTTGAAAACTTAACTTTACAAAACTTTTGATGAAATACTGGTTTGACTAATATTTGCTCGGGTCTTATTACATAATGTCTGCGCTGTTATAACAGGCCTATATCAGCTGCTTTCTCAGTAGCAATAAAAATAATCTGTTGTACCACTTTAAAGTTAAGTATCCTCATAAACTAATTGAACAGGAGTGAAGAGGAATAAATGGAAGTTATTATTGTAATGACTAGTGTTATAGAATGCACAGTTTCATCATCACTTAATCTGATTATGTTCTTGATTTAAAACTTATAGGAAATTGTCCAATGTCAATCCTGTTTCCCCACAATGCAAAATACTTCACTTGGCTATTAGAAAAATAGTTATTTGTTGTCTTTTTGCCTCAAATAGATCAATTTTCTGTCAATTTAATCAACTAGTTGCTGTCATTTAGGTGAAATGCATTTAACATTCTTGGCAGTAATAACTGGCTAATTAGTACAACATCCAGACAAGAGTAAGGCAACACAGGCCTTTGTACACTCAGGGTGGTGGTCTGCTGTTACCAGACTTTATGGCTTCGAATGAACACTCAGTTGTTAATGTGAACAAAGGCTTTGTAAAGTATTCTTTGCATGTTAACAATCTGTTGCATTGTTTATGAACTGTCCCTGTGAACATTATACAGGTTGCCATTAGTGAAGGGGTTGTCTAACACAGGTCAAAATAAAAGAGAGAGGCTCTGGGATAAGTACTACCTGTCATCACAGTGCAGTCCGAGAGTGACTGTATTCATAATATTAAAATTATAAGGCTGAGTGAGTCACAAGTTTCAGCCTAGTTGCTTTTCGAGAAAGTACTGATACACTAATCCAGAGCAGTTGTGTAATCAGCCAATCTGATTGGAATGGATCGTCCGCTGGGTCGCATTTTAAGCTGCTGCGCATGACCGCAGGGGTCACAGGGCAGCTATTTGGTCAAGCCTCTGTGACCTCATCAAATTTATTGAAAGCAATTTGCTTTTTCTACTGGTTTTCTGTAGACATTGGTGTTAAGTGAGCCACAAATGTTAGCTTAGCCCTAAAGCTAAATTGTTCAGTTACACCTAATTAGATTACAGTGGGTACGGAAAGTATTCAGACCCCCTTAAATTTTTCACTCTTTGTTATATTGCAGCCATATGCTAAAATCATTTAAGTTCATTTTTTTCCTCAATGTACACACAGCACCCCATATTGACAGAAAAACACAGAAT